CTGCTGAAGGAACCTTGAGGCCCATGCTGCCTCTCCAAGGCTTGGACATATTCCTGCCCATGAGCTGTTCCCCTGTCCATGGCATGCAGGGGGCTTCCCTCCCTGCAGCCCCACCTGTGCCCTCAGGGCCACAGCTTGGGGGACACCACTGTCCCCTGTCCCCACTGAGCTCTGTGTCCTCTCAGATGTCACCTACCTGTGCTCTGTCCTGCCCAGCACCACTGAGGATGCCTTCTTTGACTACCTGGCCACCCTGGATGCCTCTCAGGTGACAGTGTCTGCTGTGCCAGAGGGCTCTCTTCACCGGGGTGGGACACGTTCAGGACCCTCCCCTGCTACAGAGGGTCTTTGGGGGAGACTATCATCATCATCCAGGGACATCACAGCCTGGCTGTCCCCACAGGTCCTGTTCCTGCAAGTGAAGGGGCCTTTGCTGGTGGTGCAGCTGCTGGAGACCACCTTGTTGTGCCTGGTCAACTACGCCAGGTAGGGGGACATGTCCTGCCCTGGCCCCCCCACCTCTGCTGGGCCAAACCCTCTGAGCCCCCCAGCAGTCCCTGCCACCACCTCCTGCATTGCCTGGGGTTGAGCAGAGTAGGCCTTGAAGTCCCCCCACCCACCCTTGGCCATGAGTTGGTGTCACCTGTCCCTTCATTGTGTCCCCGAGAGCAGGACTGGGGCAGTCATGGTCGCCCTGCACTTGGGATGGGTGAGGCCACATCTTGAATCCCTGGGTGGAAAAGGGAGGTGGTCTCAGGCACAGGGTGTGATTCTAGGGATACCCTACACAGGAGTTGAACATGATGATCCTGATGGGTCCCTTCCAACTCAGCAGATTGTATGGATGGGCTGGAGTGTGTCCAGGGAAGGGCCCTGGGGAAGGGGCTGGAGCAGGAGAAGGGTCTGGAGAACTTGTGAGGAGCAGCTGAGGGAGCTGGGGGTGTCCAGCCTGGAGCAAAGGAGGCTGAGGGGAGACCTGCTGGCTCTGCAGCTGCCTGAGAGGAGGTTGAAGCCAGGGGGTTCGGGCTCTGCTCCCCAGGAACAAGCCCTGGGACAAGAGGGAACGGCCTCAAGTTGTGCCAGGGGAGGTTGAGGTTGGATCTTGGGAACAATTCCTCCCTGGCAAGGGTTGTCAGGGCCTGGCCCAGGCTGCCCAGGGCAGGGGGGGAGTCCCCATCCCTGGAGGGGTTTCTAAGCCCTGGGGATGGTGCTGAGGGACATGGGGCAGTGGTGGCCTTGGCAGGGCGGGGGGGAACAGGTGAACTGCATCATTTTAAAGGTCTTTCCCAACCAAAGCTCTCATTCCATGGTTCCTCCCCCAGCCTGGTGGCCACGAATGCCACTCGGTTCCCACTCCTGGCTTGTCCGGACATGAAACTGATGGAGATCGGGCTGCACCACGCACAGGGCCCAGACGGTGCCCTCTCAGCTTCTTAGTACTCCTACACTGGGGGTGAGTGCTGCTCCCACAGCCCCCCCCCGGCTGCCCTGTCACCCCTCTGCTCCCTCTGAGTCCCCCCATCCCTCTCCCCCAGGCTTCGACTACACCAGTAAGTGTGGCAGGGAAGCTTCCCGGCAGGGAAGCACTACTGCATCCGGGTGCGTGGCACCATCGCCCCTTCCTTCATCATGTCCTTCAGCTCCCAGGAGGAGGTGCAGCCCTGTGTGAGCATCCCCAGGGGGTGGGGACAGGGTGATCCCCAGCACAGACACAGGCTGGGGGGAGAACGAACTGGGGGCAGCCTTGAGGAAAAGGAGATTGGGGTGTTGGGTGAGGAGAAGCTCAATGTGAGCTGGCACCGAGCACTGAAGCCCAGAAACCATGTCCTGGGCTGCATCCCCAGCAGAGTGACCAGCAGGGCCAGGGAGGGGGTTGTCCCCTCTGCTGGGACCCCCCTGCAGGGCTGGGGCCAGGCTGGGGTCCCCAGCACAGGAAGGACACGGAGCTGTTGGAGAGAGGCCAGAGGAGCCCCAGAGATGATGGGAGGGCTGGAGCAGCTCTGCTCTGGAGCCAGGCTGGGAGAGTTGGGGTGTTCAGCCTGGAGAAGAGAAGGCTCCAGGGAGACCTTAGAGCACCTTCCAGGGCCTGAAGGGGCTCCAGGAAAGCTGGGGAGGGACTTGGGAAAAGGGCAGGGAGGGATGGGAGCAGGGGGAAGGGTTTCCAGCTAGAAGAGGGAGCTGCACTCTCCATGCTGCTGTTCATGGAGTCACTAAATCCCCACAATTCACTTCATCCTAAGCAAAAAAAAACCCAACAAACCCAAACAAAATGAAATAAAGATCTTCACCCCCAGCTGCAGCCACAGCAGGTGGCTGCTCTGATCCTTCACAGCACTTGGTGCCTTCAGCTTGAACGTTTCATTCAGTGTTCTTCCCTCCATAGAATCATGGAATGGTTTGGGTTGGAAGGGATCTTAAAGACATTCCCAATCCCCTGCATGGGCAGGGACACCTCCCACCATTCCAGGCTGCTCCAAGCCCCATCCAACCTGCCCTTCAACACTGCCAGGGATGGGGCAGCCACAGCTTCCCTGGGCAACCTGGGCCAGGGGCTCCCCACCCTCACAGCCCAGAATGTCCTCCTCATGTCTTTATGGTTTATGACAGAATAAAGATGGAATGAAAAGCAAGTGCTTGACCAACAAAGATGGGGACAGCAAGTGCCAAAAGTGAGGTTGAACTCACACCCTGTTCCTCTGCTCCATCTTCCTTCCAGTTTTCTTCTTAGCAAAATATGTCTTTTTAAAGCACCTTTGAGACTCAGGACATGGGGGTTGAAAAACAAGGGTTGTTGGGTGAAACTGCCAAGAGTGTTTAGTGCTGGAGAAGTGCAGATAAGTCATGTCCCAAAGCTTAAGAAAAACCCTGTTCCTGAGCCATCTCTTCACCTCATGGTGCAGGTCACACCTCCTGGTTGTGTCACTCTGCAGGTCCATGTCAGGAGGTGCCAGGAAAGATGAGGATGATCTTTTCTTGTGCTCTTAGCAAACCCAAGGACAACTGTCTTGATTGGCTGCTGGTCCTCAGAACCATGGAATGTGTGAGGTTGGAAGGGACATTTAAGTCATCTAGTCCAATCCTCCTGAGGTAAGCAGGGACCTCTTTTAACTAGACCAGGCTGCCCAGAGCTTCATCGAGCCTGTGAATGTCTCCAGGGATGGGGCCTCCACCACCTCTCTGGGCAACCTGTGCTTCACCTCAGCTTTGGAGTGAAGGGCTGGAAGGGAGAAGAGGATGTGTAGGGGTCCAAGTTAGGGCAGAGCTGCGTGGGGAAAGGGAAAGTAGGAAATGAGAATGAGTTTGGAAATAACTCAGAACCCAAGTCTGCAGGAAACACAAACTTCCCCTCAACGAGGCCAGGATTTAACAAACCCGGACAGGCTGACGTGTCCAGACACTGGAAGAGATGAGAAGAAGCAGAAGTGCAAGCCTGATGCACCTGGACTTGGCTGCTTCCATGACTAGGAGCTACAGGGTTGATCCAAGCTCAGGTTTCCCTTCCTGCTCCGTGGGCACCAGCCCAAGGCAGTGTCATTTGTAAAGTGCCATCTTCTTGCTCTGGTACATGTACATGTAGGCGTCGCAGAAGAGGCGCTTGGCCACCCCATCCATGTCCCGAGGTGGCTCCAGGGCCAGGACAGAGAGTGGCAAGTCCAGGTATTTGGCAACCTCAGGGCACAGCGTTACCTTGGGAATGTTGAAGCCTTTTTCATCACCTAGACAAGGAAGAAAGAGAAAAGTCCACAGCAGGTCCCAAGGGATGAGGACCTGCAGCCCAAGCAGACACCACCACACTCAACACTCAGTGGTGTCTTGGCTGAGATCTGGAGGCCAGTAACAAAGTGGGGAAGGTCAAGAGAAAGGTCCTCATCCACACGGCAGCCAGTCCCCGCTTTTAGTGCTGGAGAAGCGCAGATAAGTCATGTCCCAAAGCTTAAGAAAAACCCTGTTCCTGAGCCATCTCTTCACCTCATGGTGCAGGTCACACCTCCTGGTTGTGTCACTCTGCAGGTCCATGTCAGGAGGTGCCAGGAAAGATGAGGATGATCTTTTCTTGTGCTCTTAGCAAACCCAAGGACAACTGTCTTGATTGGCTGCTGGTCCTCAGAATCATGGAATGTGTGAGGTTGGAAGGGACATTTAAGTCATCTAGTCCAATCCTCCTGAGGTAAGCAGGGACCTCTTTTAACTAGACCAGGCTGCCCAGAGCTTCATCGAGCCTGTGAATGTCTCCAGGGATGGGGCCTCCACCACCTCTCTGGGCAACCTGTGCTTCACCTCAGCGTTGGAGTGAAGGGCTGGAAGGGAGAAGAGGATGTGTAGGGGTCCAAGTTAGGGCAGAGCTGCGTGGGGGAAGGGAAAGTAGGAAATGAGAATGAGTTTGGAAATAACTCAGAACCCAAGTCTGCAGGAAACACAAACTTCCCCTCAACGAGGCCAGGATTTAACAAACCCGGACAGGCTGACGTGTCCAGACACTGGAAGAGATGAGAAGAAGCAGAAGTGCAAGCCTGGTGCACCTGGACTTGGCTGCTTCCATGACTAGGAGCTGCAGTGTTGATCCAAGCTCAGGTTTCCCTTCCTGCTCCGTGGGCACCAGCCCAAGGCAGTGTCATTTGTAAAGTGCCATCTTCTTGCTCTGGTACATGTACATGTAGGCGTCGCAGAAGAGGCGCTTGGCCACCCCATCCATGTCCCGAGGTGGCTCCAGGGCCAGGACAGAGAGTGGCAAGTCCAGGTATTTGGCAACCTCAGGGCACAGCGTTACCTTGGGAATGTTGAAGCCTTTTTCATCACCTAGACAAGGAAGAAAGAGAAAAGTCCACAGCAGGTCCCAAGGGATGAGGACCTGCAGCCCAAGCAGACACCACCACACTCAACACTCAGTGGTGTCTTGGCTGAGATCTGGAGGCCAGTAACAAAGTGGGGAAGGACAAGAGAAAGGTCCTCATCCACATGGCAGCCAGTCCCAGTTGGCTCAAGAATCATGGAATATTTTTGGCTGGAAAAGACCTTTAAGATCATCATCAAGTGCAACCATTAACCCAGCACTGCCAAGGCCACCCCTGCCCCACATGTCCCTCAGCACCATCTCCAGGGCTTGGAAACCCCTCCAGGGATGGGGGCTCCCCCCCTGCCCTGGGCAGCCTGGGCCAGGGCCTGACAACACTTGCCAGGAAGGAATTGTTCCCCAGATCCAACCTCAACCTCGCCTGGGCAACCAGAGGCCATCAGTGCAGCCTGGTCTAGTGGGACATGTCCCTGCTCATAGCAGGGGAGTTGGAACCTGATGATCTTTAAGGTCCCTTCCAACCTTCACCACTCTATGATTCTATGATTTCCTCTCATCCTGAAGTCCCCCATTTGAACACAGACAGAGGATAAAAGCACTAGGAGGAACTCAAACATGTTTCACAGCATGGTAGGGGTTGGAAGGGACCTCTGGAGGTCATCTACTCCATGCTTGGCCATACTCTGAGGTCTGCTTAAACAGCCACTCTTGAAAGCAGGGTCCAGAGAGAGCCTGAACAATGTAGGAGGCTTCAGAGGAGAAGGTGGCCTGACCAGTGTCTATACCAGAAGCCTTGCAGACCCTCAGAGCTGCCCACCATGCAGAGTCCAGGTGCCACTGAAGCTCCAAGGCCACCCCAAAGTCCTCACCCTGCCTGTCAGCCATGCTGTCAAAGAACATCCAGTGCTGGTTCTCGGGGCCATACTTGACGAAGGAGACGTAATGGCTGGTCTCGATGCAGAGCACTGCAAAGAGCTCCATCTTCTCCCGAGGGACCTGCTGGATGCCTCGGGGGCTCCGCCTGTGAAATTCCTCTGGGATGTGCAGCCTGGTTGGCTTGTGGGATTTACGTTGGTGGTGGGAGTGAACCTGAGGAGAGAGGATGGGGTGACACCACTGAGGGGGGCAGAGCGGAGCTGGGCGGCCAAGAGCAGCGCGCAAGGGTGAGGGCCCCAGTTCATCCCAGGGCATGGCAGTGTGACACCAGCCTGCCAGCAAGAAGCTGAGGTCATAGAATCATGAAACGGTTTGGGTTGGGAGGGACCTTAAAGATCACCTAGTTCCACCCCCCTTGCCATGGGCAGGGACACCTCCCACCATTCCAGGCTGCTCCAAGCCCCATCCAACCTGCCCTTCAACACTGCCAGGGATGGGGCAGCCACAGCTTCCCTGGGCAACCTGGGCCAGGCTCTCCCCACCCTCACAGCACAGAATTTCTCCCTCACATCTCAGCTCCAGCTCCCTCTGCCAGCTGGAAACCCTTCCCCCTGCTCCCATCCCTCCCTGCCCTTGTCCCAAGCCCCTCCACAGCTTTCCTGGAGCCCCTTCAGGCACTGGAAGGTGCTCTAAGGTCTTCCTGGAGCCTTCTCTTCTCCAGGCTGAACACCCCAACTCTCCCAGCCTGTCTCTAGAGCAGAGCTGCTCCAGCGCTCCCAGCATCTCTGGGGCCTCCTCTGGCCTCGCTCCAACAACTCTATGCCTTTCCTGTGTTGGTGGCTCCAGAACTGGACAAAGTACCAGAGATGGGAGTGTCTGCCACCCTTCAAGAAAGGCCAGAAAGCTGTAATGATGCTCCTGGTGACACAGCCTGGAGGACCCACAGGATCCATCCTTACTTTGGTTCTGTCTAAGGAAGGGCTTCAAAAACACACAGAACCCAACCCGATTTACGGAGCTGGTGGGACAGATGCTCAGGAAAAAGCCCCTCTGTGCCCCACCTGAAGGGCTGCAGGGGAAACGTGGGTGTTTTGGGAGGGCTGATCAGCCACCTGGGCAGATTTCAGAAGGACCCATGGGATACCTGTCTGGAGCAGGTGCTGCAGAACTGCTTCAGGCCCGTCGCCGCAAACACTCGGTCTTTGAAACACTCCGAGCACTCCAGGCTGGCGACGTCGCCACAGATGCAGCACTCCCGGGGACCTGCAGCAGGGGGAGAGGATCTGTCTCCTCCTGATCTCACCTGAAATCCAGCTCATCCTGTCAAAACTGCTGTTCTGGGAAGAAGGATCACACTGTGATCCCACCTCGTATCATAGAGCCAAGGAATGGTTTGTGTTGGAAGGGACCTTAAAGATCATCTAAGATCCAACCCCCCTGCATGGGCAGGGACACCTGCCAGCAGCCCAGGCTGCTCCAAGCCCCATCCAACCTGCCCTTCAGCACTGCCAGGGATGGGGCAGCCACAGCTTCCCTGGGCAACCTGGGCCAGGGGCTCCCCACCCTCACAGCACAGAATTTCTCCCTCACTTCTCAGCTCCAGCTCCCTCTGCCAGCTGGAAACCCTTCCCTCTGCTCCCATCCCTCCCTGCCCTTGTCCCAAGTCCCTCCCCAGCTTTCCTGGAGCCCCTTCAGGCCCTGGAAGCTGCTCTAAGGTCTCCCTGGACCCTTCTCTTCTCCAGGCTGAACACCCCAACTCTCCTAGCCTGGCTCCAGAGCAGAGCTGCTCCAGTCCTCCCAGCATCTCAAGGGCCTCGCTCCAACAGCTGTGTCCTTCCTGCCTTGGTGGCTCCAGAACTGGACACAGCTCTCCAGGTGGCATCTCACATCTGCTCAGAACCCAAGAGGTGAGACCTGTCACCTCATTGCTCACAGACCCAGGTGGTGGCTTGACCATTACCCTACAACTTACTGTCCAGCAGCAGATCTGTGATATCCAGCTCCAAGGAAGGAATGATCTTGCTGAACATTTTATATTCCTTCCCAAAGCGTGGCATTTGGATAATGAAGCAAGATGGGATCTGGGAAAAGAAGGGCAAAGGAGTCACCCTGCCAGAAGAGACAAGTCCCAGAGACTCTTCTCTCCAGATTCCTGTTGAGGATAAAAACTTAATGGTATTTTGGTTATTAAGACAACAACAAGCAACAGGGAAAGCTCAGCCCTCTCCCCAGGTGATGCTTGGATCCCCCAGGACCTCTCTCTGGTGGATGAATCCTCCTGCTTTGCAGCATGATATGAGCAACCAGCCCCACTGCAGACTCACTGGCAGGCACAGGAATGTTGCAGGAAGCAGGAAACAGGCAGCAGGGAGGATCGTGGGCAGAAGGTCACTGGGCTCACCTCCACCAGCTTCAGCTCGGAGGACAGGAAGGAGCGTTCCACTAACTGCTGCACGTCAGGAACCACCAGATCCTCCTGTTTGTCCATAAAGATCTGGTAACAGTAACAGTCCTGCTCCTTCTGGCCTCCTGACCTGCAAGGAGTGGTCACGGGGCTTGTTTAGGTGGTGCCACAACCATCTGAGCTCCCAGAGGATGTAGCCGTTTTCAAGTGTCAAATGAATGTTCAAGGAAGAGAAAGACTCCTGGAACCGTTTGGGTTGGGAGGGACCTTAAGGATCATCTAGTTCCAAACATCCTGCATGGACAGGGATACCTCCCACCATTCCAGGCTGCTCCAAGCCCCATCCAACCTGCCCTTCAACACCCCCAGGGATGGGGCAGCCACAGCTTCCCTGG